ATCTGATTAATGTATATTATTTTTGCTACATATTGCCAGCAACCGCAAGATCTCTGATTGGGCCTTTTATAACTTGTACAATGAAAGGTTGTACACTTTTTTAGAAACGCAACTGCATAGGTTATGCGATTTCTCGACATAATGATGTATTATAACAAACAAAAATAGATAAATTGTTGAAATATCTAAATGACACGAACAGGTAGTCCAGATGACCAGACAGGCCGCCAGTTTAAAACCGATGGAAGTAATGATAAAAATTGCGATGAATTATAATAGCTTAAGCATTTTTATCGTTCACTAACAACTACTACATTAAAAGTTTTTATTGTCATTGTTGAATAGATCATTTAGTAAAGCGGTTAGTTTCAATCGACTGTAATAAGCATAAATCGATAAAAAATAAAAATAAAAAAATCATCAGGATTGTAATTCAATTAAGTAGTATCTAGATCCTAACTGAAGTGACAATTCCGATCTCTTTTTCTAACCGTCTGTCATCATTATATTCTTGTCAATAATATAATCTGTAAATAAGAGCGATTTCAGTTAATTTTAAACCACATAGATAAAACAAATTATTGGGGTATCCATAAAATATTAAAAGCAGAATACTAGTTAGGGAAAGATACCTATTGCACTGTCGTTCAAGGTTCAGGAGTTCATTAAAATAGCGGAGTAACAAGATGGATATCCTACTGAAAAATAATTGGAACAACTTATGATTGGTAAGGGTTAATCATGTTCAGAGCTGTTGTCTTGTAGACCCACTGACCCATGTCATGTGTCTAATCACAAATCGGAATCCTGATTCTAATTTGGTCTCCTATTTACTTTATAACTAAGTCTCTCTGATTTGACCAATCACAGGGCTGACCACCACTATGGGCTTTGAGCAGTCACCTAGGTTTCTATTGATTCACCGTTCGCTAGCATCTCCCTATGGCCTACCTTGAGTCCAGGAGTAGCAGAGAGCCTCCTTCTACATTTCAAACAGACGTTGTTTGTATACAGACATACCAGACAATGACACAAAATGAAGAATAACAATAATAAATGAACAAGCCAAAAAAAGGCTGTGAAAGGGGAGGCTGTAGGTAACAGATTGGTAACAAAACAGTAACGGTAAGTCGTACAACCATAGTTAATTAGTATACCGAAAGCTAGTGACAAACAAGATACATATACATTGTAACCTAACTACTCAGTAATTATACAACGAAATCGTAATTAATAATAATTTAAAAAAAACTAGTTCCAACTTTTACAATATCTGTCCCCTTATAACAAGAGTAAAATAGATATTACCAATGATGATACTGAATGATCATTACACAATATCACGAACTTGAATGTTCATATGTATGTAAGTAATTGTCATTATTAGTTTTTGCCCTATGATATTCAAAATTGACGGTTCAATCTACATTTTTTGTAAATGTCGTTTCTAGCAATGGTTTAACTGGTTTACTTACAATCAGAAAAATATACCCTTCAGATATTTTCAACATCCCTCCTCATTTTCCAGACTACACAACACAGTTTTATGAGGGTTATATAACTGGTTGATATCAATGGTTTAGGTATTCAATATGTTAGGCATTTTAGACCGGTATAATGCCAGTACAATTTGGGCAATTGGATACTGCTAGTCACACACAGACGAAAAGCGCGATAAATATATATATATATATATATATATATATATATATATATATATATATACTAACTTTGGTGTGGCTTTAAATACAAAATATGAACTGAGACACCTTAACTACAGTACAGATTAATTGTGCAATTATCATTAATCTTGACTAGTTCGTTCCATATACATTTCAATATAGGCTAATATTACTTATTATGGACCAAGTAAACGGAAAAAGTCACTATTGTAACCACATTTACACAAGAAATTAATGGAGTGGAAGGCTTAGTTAATCAGTTGTTTCCAGCGTAAAGTATGGTGTAAATGTGTACCAGTCCAAGCTGGTATACTACACTAGCACAGAGTGGTGATATAACATGATGATTAGGAAATAATTCGAAATAACAAGGGTATCAACGATGATAAAAAAATTAAATTTAGAAGATTTGTTTCGAAAAGAAGCAATGAACTTGTGCGATAAAATATAATCAATAACAGTGAAGCTAATGTAACCGATTCTGAACTATATCAGCAAACGTCTTCAACCAGTGATTATCCAGCGCAACCCAACCAGGTAACCTGAATTTGCAAATATGGCTCACACCAACAGTTATCGACTTCAGAGTCTGATGGCACATCTTAGTTTAGGTGCTCCTACACTTCTTCAATTATATTCATTGTCTGGTTTGTCCTGATCGAGAAGTGACTGAATGATTAAGACGATTAACTTTCAACTACAGGATTCCCGATTCAAACCTAAAGCTAATTACTCATGTCTAGCCCGCCCATTAATATATTAGGGTCCTACAAAATTACGTGGCTTAAGATCGATAATATATATCTATACTTAGTTACTGAGATATATTAATTAAAACGGATTCCTATGAATTATTTCTGAGAACTTCATTTCTTAAAAAAATACATTACAAATTCATTTTAATTTGTCACACTTCTTCATACAGTTTGCCCTTAGAGTCAAGTCTCAAAATTTGATTTAACTACCATAAAGCTTTTGTACACTTCACTTAAACATTATTATCTTTAGAGGAATACAGCATATAACCACAAGAAACAAATTTTTGACGTTCAATATCTCGAATCTATTCATTGTCAGACAGCCAATCACTACAGTGGCTGCTGTTTTGACTTGAAACTTGTATGTTGTTATGACCCAGTAGAGATAGATTGACTGGAATACTAGTTACCGTAGGTCTTAGTACATTAGGCAGGTCGGATGATGAGCGGTAATATCAAAAACTAATTCATCCTGACAATTATGCGATGTGATGACAGAAAACCGACAACTGCAGCCGTGTAGCCTCTCTGCAACGGAGGGAGGAGTTAGAAAAGGTCAGCCCTAAGATATCACACCCAGAAGGCAGTAGGACTGAAAATTACGAAGACAGCATGTCAAAAACTGTTAACAAAGACGTCGTATATGAAGAGCATCTGCTGAAGTCTGTGATCACTCCCACACGTCGTCAAAACCACACCCAAACCAGTTCCCTTTTCAGATACTTCAGGGGGGAATATCTTTCCACAGTATAGGGAATCAGGATGTGACAACTAACTTCATATCTAACACATAACCAATAACAATAAGCATGTTCGTTACATATATATATATATATATATATATATAACAAGATATTTATGATAGTAAGCGTAGTAGGAACTCAGCGTTTACCTTCAGAATTTACAAATTAGTATCATCTTATTAACTGTAACATGCGAAATTCAGCTTCTTCAAATCTTAACATTGTTTAATTCTGTTCCATTTCATGTTTTTTTTTACCATTTATTGTTTCTTATATCAAGGTACTAATCTATCATTATCTACATCTTAGTTTATTCATTATCATTTACTTCTTTTACAATCATCGTTTGGTCTTTTTTGCCATATAATAGTTCTCGTATTTCTTTTAACCCTCCTTAAATGGAGAATTTTTGTGCTACTGATTCTACTAAAAATAAGTTTATTTCAGTCACTTATAATCAACTTACAGCATGACATGCATATATATCATTGACTCAAGTTTCTATGTTACATCGGTACAACAAGATGAAGTGAATGAGATAAATAGGAAAAGAATTGAAATAATTTAGTAGCAATTGTAGTGAGGAGGACCAAGTGTTGAAAATATGATTTAGAAAAAGAAGTTGAAGGGTATTTGTGTAAGGATACTGGAACTTAAAGTTTAGAGATAGGTCAACATTTAATATATCTTCGTTATGGTCGATTGTGAGCCTGAGGTAATTACATGGATCTTAACTATGTATTTACGCGAACTCTTCTTTCACGCTTGTTCACAATTACTCTACATATTTAGCTTTAGGTCATACTTTTTGAATATGAGTTCTAGTATAATTATTAATGTTATTATTATCTAATTGCCCATAATAAAATAAACAGCAGGAATCGAACCTACAGTCTACCTGTTCAAAGCTGTATTATATTTTATCCTTTGTTGTTTTACTATAATCCTTTCAATGTTTTTCTTTTATTAACACCAAATACACCACCGAGTAATCAATCAATTGTGATTACATCTCAATCCTATAGGAGGTCGATCGAGGTCCAATTAACTCAATGGTTACGTCTCTAACTGTGAATCTGAGTGACACGGGATCGAATCCGTCAGGGAGTACCAGTTCCCTTAACATGACAAGTGTCAAGTAGCACGAAACCTGGGTTCAGGAATTCCTGTCGACCCCAAAATGCCCTGGTACGGCCGAGAGTGGGGAGAGTCAGCTCTCCCTCTCGAAATGCTCTCACATGGCCACGCATATATAGCCTCTGTTAGGGACGTCCTACTCACTGCCTTCTCCCACCACGGGTGTTGTTTACAAAACTGAGAGGATGAAAAGCGAATGTCCGGCGCTTTAACCGGGTTGGTGGACACGGAGAGTTCACCTAGGGGAGTTGGAAAACCCTGATCCCAAACCAATGGTGCACATGGGCTCCAGTGTCGTGAAGGAACAAATGGAGTATGAACCAATCGTTGGTCACCGGCTACCATGTTAATGCAGCTCCTTACCTATCTCTACTGTCTTGTGGATCAGACCTTCATGTCGAAGGCTCGGGGTGTGGCTTCCTTAGAAAACCACCTGGTTCGGTTTGAGAACCCGGGCAGTATCACAGCCCTCACATATATCAAGTGATGTCTGTGTGGCGCATATGTATCTGGTGCCTCCTTGTACCAATAACTATGTATTAAAATACCATCTTATCACAATTATTCTATGCATATTGGATTTATTTTTTTTTACTTCATTATTACATAATCATATAATATTATATTACATATGAATAGTATTATATTAAATATTATTAGAATCTTAATAAATTACTTACCATTATTTAAAAATGTATGATCAGTTTCATTCATTTGAACAATAGGATAATTTTTATTAACATTCAATGTTTGTTTATTTAATTCATCCTGTTCATAATGAGTTGATAAAATATCATCTATATTAAATGTAGGTGATATATTACATGATGATAATTTAATTGATTCTTTTGTTAATGATGGTATATTCACTGATATACATAAATTAGATGATTTAGATGAATCTAAAGTAATTAATGATAATGATTCTGTAGAAGTTAATGGCATATAGAGACAAAGAGAGAGAGAGAGAGAGAAAGAGAGGGGTTGAGAGAAAGATATGAGACCAAATCAAAATGTATTATATTATTTAATTTTTTTTTTGATAAAATGTAATCATCCAATTAAGATAATACTATTCCAAATAAAACATATCCCATATTACAATAAGTAAATGATGTAAGATTAAATACAATTAAATGATTGTAACTGTCACTTAAGTGAATATTATTGAATTTAACCTATCATTAATTGAATAATAGTGGATAGACAGTTAAGACTGTTTATTTGTATTTGGATAGGTTAAATCCACCTACTAGTTGTGAATAAATTAAACCAATAGATTCACAACTAATTTTAAATTTATAAACAGGTTTAAGTTTTATTAAAAGTTATTGCATAAGATTTAAAATTTATCTTTTATACTTTCATAGATTGATTCTAATGAAGAAACATGAATTCAGCAGTTTAAAAAAGGAGTTACCAAATCAATTAACGGCACTATTCTTTTACACTTGGTAGATAGTGAACATCATATTAAAATAGAGGAAGCTTTCTCTGTTTTATATCAAGTTCCAAAATATCTACCTCACGGAGCTAGATTACGACTGCTTTACATAGCCAAAACCATCTAGATCAACTCCAGAAGACCAAATTTATGTATCCAGAAAAAATATATCCAGCCTCTTTGTTTACCTTGGCCTAAGACTAGATCACCGGATACCTAAACTGAATATTATAAACATCTTACCCCCTTTTTTGACTACCTCTATCTTAATCTTCACACATTCCTTGATAACACCCCCCTTATTACATTTTATATTCACGCAACAATCTTATTATTATTATTATTATCTCAATTGACAAGATTAAATACTCCAACTATGCATTTTATTCACAATTCTTTTTGCATTTTCATTTTTGCTATAATACTATTCTACTTATTGTGACTGAACACTTTACTCCAAATCATTCTGACCTTTATTGAATGACCTATCTAATTTGTAAATAACACAATTTTGAAGTATATTTATTGTAACAGATACAAACGTTCACCATTTTTAACACATAACATTGTCAAATTCATTAATACATGCCTTATTTTTGGCCTTTGTAAAATATCACAATCATTATGGACTTATAACTGTAGAGCCTAATGATGAAGTTATTGAAAACAATTGTTCGCTCAAATATTCTTCATTTTTAAACTTGAATTCACTTTGTAAAGTTTAAATAAATTAGACAAGTATCAAATGATATCGACCTTTTTTTGGCGAATCCTTTCTTGTAATGATATTGTAAGCTGGTATTCTTTCCCCTCTCCCTCTCACTATTCGACATGCAATTGATTTAACTAAGCAACACAGAGTAACTAAGTCTAGATTATTTGATAACACATTAAATCAATTAAATCGTTAGCTATGCGTAAAACAATTTTTCATACTGGTTTACCACTTATGTACTATACAATACATTGTATTAATTCATCTGAAGTTCAAAATAATGGATAAGATTAGGAAGTAGTGTTTAGCATTTCTAGTAAAATATTCTTGATAAATTGTTAATATAGCTAGACTTATTTTGCTCCTACAATTGTTCATCAAGAGTATATATCAGATACCTAAATTACTCCCCCCAGTTTTCTAAATACATATTTCATTTCACAGGTTGAAATCATGAGTCGATTGAAGCTAGACCACCATGGAAAACCTGGAAGCACTGGACGGCCGTTTCGTCCTAGTATGGGACTCCTCAGCAGTGCGCATCCACGATCCCGCACCACGCGGGGCTCGAACCCAGGACCTAATGGCTTCGCGCGCGAGCACTTACCCACTAGACCACTGAGCCGGCATCCAACGGTGTTAATGTCTAACTTCGTGGATTGGTTGAAGTTAAACATTAACACCGTTGGATGCCGGCTCAGTGGTCTAGTGGGTAAGTGCTCGCGCGCGAAGCCATTAGGTCCTGGGTTCGAGCCCCGCGTGGTGCGGGATCGTGGATGCGCACTGCTGAGGAGTCCCATACTAGGACGAAACGGCCGTCCAGTGCTTCCAGGTTTTCCATGGTGGTCTAGCTTCAATCGACTCATGATTTCAACCTGTGAAATTTCTAAAACTCTCCACAAAACCCATTCTGACATATTTCATTCTTTTTGTTTGGTTGCTAAGTCAATTTAGTTATTTTACTGTAAAATCATACTGTAGCCTGTTGTTTCTTTGTCACTTAACTTTCTTATCAATACACTTCAAAGTAACGAAAACAAAACCATATTTTATTAAAATACATAAAAACCTAGTAAGCTGTTTTTGGAAGCATTTTTCTACTTGTATGTTTTATATGATGGCATTCAAATATTTTCTTTTAGATCATCTGATGTAGATGTTACGATGACTCTAAGTAATTAATTTCCAACTTCAATCAGTTCTTAATATAACATGACAGTCATCCTATTTCATCAATACGTAACTGAAATAATTGAACTCAATTGACCATGGCTTTCACTATAACTTTGGGAATACATCTTAAAGTCAGTCACTAGTGAAGATATGATTATTATTTTTTTTTTAAAGTCTTCGTAGAAAACTAATTCATTTTATAGGCAGCTTTCTTCAAGAAATGACTATTAAATATAAATATTCAAATGCTGGGCAACATTGATACAACTCAACAGCCTTAAAACATCACATTCAAATACAGTTAGAACCAGATGAATTATAGAATATAGCATATATAGATCCAAATTTGTCAAAATGTGTTCTTTATAATAAATTATAGTAATAAAACTCATTACAAAACCTTACCGTTAAATTCACTCAGAGTTTGGACAGACACGGCTGAACTCTACTGGTCACTGCTTCTCACTAGAACTCCAAGAAATTCATTTTGAAGCAATTTACTAGTGAGCACATAGTGATTATCAGTATAAGGTTATGGAGATTGGTAAGTTAGTTAACAGGTTTATTGAAAAGTACTTACAATGGTGAAATGGTATTTGAATATTTTAAAAATAATTGCTAAGTTTGTCTTTATTTTTACTAGACAAGGTATATGAAAGTTATTATACTTCCAACTCTCCCACCAAAAAACAAATTTTTATGTTTTAGGATAAACTAAACAAGAAAAATCAACCATCTAGTATCTAACTTATAGCATAATCATGATAATGATAATAATACAAAACTGGTCATTGCATAAAGATTCAGTATTTTGATTGACTGGATGCTCCAGTAGAAGACAAAACGAACGATCACAAGTTCTTTACAATTTTGCTTGATAACTGCTGTGATTATATAAGTGGACAATGAAAAACACAATGCACAGTGATTTGTAGATTATAATAGTTCCACAACTTTGATACTTTTCCATACAAAATTGAAAAAAATATATTCATCATTGATTATTCATTGAAAACTTTTGAGGACCAGAACTGTGATTTTTCATAGATGTCTATCCTTCATCAATTCCTCCTTAAGATCATAAACTCACTAGTGACTTGATTCGAGTTGACTCCCTAAAATTCCATTAGCGAGTCATTACATATCGAGTTCATCCAGACTATTACTTTAGTAATCAACACTGATTGTATTGAATGATAGTCATATTATTATCGCGAACTAACTGAGCCTGGAAATGTGGATGGATGTTAACCCGACAGCATAATGTTTAAATGCTCGTCAAGGGTTGGTAATGATTGTATTTTCTTACCTCTTCTTAACTGAAAAAAAATGTATTAGTAAAATGTTGAAAGTGTTTTAAGCAGTTCCAACTCCAACAGTGACTTACTACTTTACATATTAAGTATCTTTATCGTTTTTGATCTGTATAGGATGAAACGGCCGTCCAATGCTTCCAGGTTCTCAATGGTGATCTAACATCAGTCACTACACAATCTCAATCAGAAATTTAACAATCACCACAACCCTATACTGATAATCTGTATAGTTTGTTCATAAAATTTGAAAACATTGAAGAAGTGATTTCTATATAAGTTGAATAATTTACAAAGTTTAGGTTGTAGTAAAAGTCGGTGATATTATATCATTAGAATCATTCATAAGTATATATACAAACTTTTCGATGATTTATATAGTCAGAAGAGGTTTTGTGGAGATTTCAGAAATTTCAATAGTTGGAATCATGAGTCAATTGAGGCTAGATCAACGTGGAAAACCTGGAAGCACTGGACGGCTGTTTCGACCGATAGGTCCCGGGTTCGAATCTCGCGGGGGGCGGGATCGTGTACGCACACTGCTGAGTAGTCCCATACTAGGATGAAACGGCCGTCCAGTGCTTCCAGGTTTTCCATGGTGGTCTAGCTTCAATCGACTCATGATTTCAACTATTGAAATTTATGTAGTCCTTAAATAATCGAATTCAACCTATATGGATGATATTTTTTTACTCCAATTAACTTGTTATTACGTAACATAATAAAGAATATCAAATTACATATACATTTTACTTAATTGAACTTCACTCTTTAACAACACACTGTATGTATCTGGGTTTTTTTTGAGATTTTATTTTTAAAAACAACATCGACAATTAAGTGATTTTGATTGTAATACAATGTCAAAAACGACAACAAGAACAACAACAACGTAGCAATCAATAATTTTTTGCCTACTTCTCAAGCTCCTACTGTCTAGTTGTGGTCAATTTTGGACAAAAATGAGTCGTGATTGGTTTCTATTTATTTCAATAATATGTAGATGAATATCGATACACCAGTAGACAATATATTTTGTAGATAAATAATACATTATAATTAGTATGATTGATAATTCTAAGTCAGTGAAATTCACTTGGTGTTGTTTTACTTGTGTCTTCCCATTGTTATATAGAACTGCAATTGATCAATCTCTTGTTGGTATATGTGGATCCTGTGTGGATTGTCTCGATATAGCCTTAGGTCACAAGCTTTTTAAGGAAAGGTGAATAGTGGCTAGCAGTGGAACCCAGGTTGACGCATGTTTCATTCTATTTTGGACTCTTCAGCTGGATGTAAT